CTAGAATCCCACCACTCCACCACAGAGTCACCGAAGTAGACGTTAGATGAGCGCTGTCGCTCTGCGGCACTTGTTATTATAATTGTCTGTGTCATTGCTATTAATTGGATGGTTGTAGTGGTGATGGTGGCGACGACGATGATGATGATGATGACAACAATTTATCTGATATTGACACACGTTTGCATGCATCGCGCGTCAACAGACACAAATAACAGAAGAGTGTGGTTGAATCTGGCATTTTCTGCAGCAACGTTGTGCGACGAAACCCTACGTGAGAATACTCTTGCAAAAGTAAGGTGTGTGTGTGTGTCTGCAGTCTCTGTCTGGGTCTCTCATATTCATCAGACAAGCTCCCATTAGCTGAGTGCAGGCTTCACTGTTGCCCCGGTGATACACTCCAGCAGAGTGAAGCTGTGATCAGCTGAGTGCAGGCTTCACTGTTGCCCCGGTGATACACTCCAGCTAGCAGAGTGAAGCTGTGATCAGCTGAGTGCAGGCTTCACTGTTNCCACCCGCACAGACAAGCGGGTAGTGCGTAAGCGCTCGCTCTATCCTTCCGTCTCACCATCCCTGCTCAGACCTAGGCGTAATTGACGCTCCTCGCCCCTACCATCCTGCATCAAGATGACTAGGGTAAGTGTAAGCCTCACCCTACCATCCCTGCATCAGACTAGGGTAAGTGTAAGCCTCACCCTACCATCCCTGCATCAGACTAGGGTAAGTGTAAGCCTCACCCTACCATCCCTGCATCAGACTAGGGTAAGTGTACGCCTCGCCCTACCATCCCCTCATCAGACTAGGGTAAGTGTACGCCTCGCCCTACCATCCCTGCATCAGACTAGGGTAAGTGTAAGCCTCACCCTACCATCCCTGCATCAGACTAGGGTAAGTGTACGCCTCGCCCTACCATCCCCTCATCAGACTAGGGTAAGTGTAAGCCTTGGCCTACCATCCCTGCATCAGACTAGGGTAAGTGTACGCCTCGCCTTACCATCCCTGCATCAGACTAAAGTAAGTACCAGTCTTACCCTTCTGTATCCCCTTCAGAGTAACTACTCCCCCCATCCAATAGACCCAGGTATGTGCCACCGCGATGCTACCATCATGCGATCCAGTTAGGATACGTGGTATTTCCACCCTGCCATACCTCATCAGACTTTAGGTAGATGCAAACCACGCCCTTGTCCCTTATCGGTACTAGGATAAGTGTCAATTGTTGGTCGGCTATACATGTACTGTTCACTGTGGTTGGTAATAGTAATTCGCACAGACGACCGCTGTCAAAAACCTGATTCTTCTGATGAAAATACATGAGTAAATTGATATATTTGGACATCACAATTAATCAGTGAGCAGGTTCAGTCAACTATGCATGCATTTCTCACAGTGCATGGTTCCCATGTCAGCCCAACTGTATGAAATGAGTAGGCGTATCACATTTGATGGAAGTTGATGTTCGAACAATTTAACTATGAGGTGTGAAGTGCAACTTGCAGTTTCGCCGGAGCCTGTTAGATTGCTCGCCATGAATTCCCTGTCGGATAGTTTTGATAATAAACGAGTTCTGCGCCCGGTTTTATGCCTGTAGCTTCACACAGACGATGCCAGCTTGTTGGCGAGCAATCTATAATTATTTTGGGCGTGTGTACCAAAATCGACCGTTGTGGTGTGGAATTATTATGTGCCGGATTTAATTACCTTGTGGGGCGAGCAAGTATCAGATATCGCCCACCCAGGCTGAATAACTATCCCATTAATAATCGTTCCCGCAATGGTAAACGTGTAATTTTAACGTCGAATATATTCAAGAAGCCAACTACGTACCACGTAGTGCACGAGTCGATGCAAATATTATTGTACTGACTGCAAGATCGTATTTACTGCACTTCTCGTTATGTTAGAACGAGGTTTATGAAACTATATACTCAATACTCGACTCTCAATATAAATAACTGATGTGATGTCACAACACTCTGTCTTTTTGTTTATTCGCGATTTGGTAGGCGCACTTGACATTATAGTAATGTAATCTTATGCGAAAGCCAACTAATCGAGGAATAACATTACGAGTAAGATACTCTCAACTGAGGATGGTTATACGTTTAAAAGTACACAAAATTCCAGTTTATCATGGTTTTTTGAAGTGATATGAAGTCTACCTCTGACTACGTTTTACGTTTTACTGACAAAAGCTGCCATGCTTCCATAGCATGACATTTAGTGAATTTTCTGACACAATATCTAGTAATTTGATCATTTCTATAACTAAATAATCGATTGAAGGCAGGAAAGGCCAGAAACAAAATTAATACTGTGTTACCATTCACAAATGTTCCACAGATTGAGCTGGGCTTTGCACCTCTCCCCCAATTCGCCTGAACTAAGCCTTTGATTTGGGCAAACAAGGGCTGCGGTGGTGGGTTGGGGGGGGAGGGGGGTGTCAGAGATTATACAATTGTGTATTTTTCTGATTTTCGTACCTGTGTAGATCTAGGTTAAAGGACGTAGGGTTTAAGCAGGCGCTTGCACGTTATAGGTGGTGGCAGGGAGGCTGTCGTCACGGAGCAGCCACGCATCAAGCTCCCCGGCAAGCTCACCTTGCCTCAACGCTTGCCACAAGCTGTGCCAGCAGGGGGCGCTGTCAGATGAGCAGTGTGAGAAGAAGGGCACCGGTGGCTGGTGCAAGAGCCGTCCATCATCGGAGAGCTTCACGACAGTGGCGGTGGTGCACGAGCCCTGCGAGGGGGCGCCACCGCCGGCGTGGGATGCCGGAGCAGAGCCAGGCAGCGAGGAGAGCGACAGCTCGATCCCTGATGTGGTGACGATGCCGTCGGGTCCCCGCCAACCCTTACCCAGGTACACGTCACAGCCGTGGGGGGGGGGGGCATGCGCCTGTGCCTCTATATATGTGTGTCGGTGTGCACGTGCACCTTTTTATGTGTGTGTGTGGGTGCATACGTGTGTGCACATTAATTTGTTAGTGGTGTGTTTGCTTGTGTCTGTAAATGGGCATGCTTGTCTGAGTTTGTTTACTTGTCCCCTTGCTGCCAAATTCTCAACATCTCATTTGAAAATTTTAAATATAATCGGCATAGCACCTAACTATGTACAAAAGCCATCTTGTTCAGCAGTTTAAAGTGCGTGCACTCGTTTGTTTGCTCTCTATAACTGATTAAATACGTCATCTGTTCATGCTTCCAGTCCGGATGTGACGAGGCACACGCAGGATGGACACCAACAGCAGTGCCCTCTGCCGATGAATGCATGCACTAAGCTTGAGGAGCAGTTCAGGGAGACCTTCCAGCTGAACAGAAAACTTGCGCTAGAACTCGACGCCGCGAAACAAGAGATCGAAGTGCTTACCGCCCGACTACGAGAGCATGACGCGCACGACCTGCAGAGGTCACGAGGTCGTAACACTCACATGAACGACCCACCCGGTTGGCATGGCGACGGTGATGCCGTGGCAGGCGGAATCTCCGGTGATGACTGCTCAGCGGATAGTGGTTACCACGGTCACCGCGAGGCTGACTTCTGCAGCCACGGTGATGCGTGTGATGGAAGTGGTGATGCTGCGGGCAGCAGTAGCCATGGTGACAGGACGTGTGCTGAGGATTCTGTGCGAACATTCTCGAAACCTCCCAAGTGTAAGAAGCCGATGCATAGGTGAGTGTGTGATAATGGGATTTCCCCGGTATCAAAGTTTTTATGAGTTTGTGCTATTAAGGCATATAAAATAGCAAATAATGCAGCCACATTTGTCATTGTCGCGACAATTGCCTTGTAGGGGGGGGGGGGCAGTGGTGGCCAGCCAAATCTGTATGTCATTCATTGGCACTAGTGGTTCTAGACTAAGGGCAGGGTCTCATCGTAAACAAGTGGCATCATCATGTAACCCTCAACGAAGGAATAACTCACACGCACATTTTGGTGAAAGTAACGATGGTCGATATTAGCCTTACTGTAGACTTTTTTACTGCCACGCAAGCAATTCTAGTATGTATTGTAATGAACGGGAAAATACGAGAACGTTTGGAAAGACTGTTCGAATGCCTTACCTTAAAGAACGTTAACATTTTAACATAACCATGCAACAATAAAGTTTGTGCGTGTGACTGTTTGTTTGTTGTACATTTTCGGAAACTGACGCAGTTTGTAATACAGTAATTCTGAGCGAAGTTTAAGTACGCTAGATAACGCCGTTTGAAGGTACGATTAGGTTGATCTCATCATCAAAATATGCTTGCTCGTACCCTTAGGGTAGCTGACTAGCATGAGATCGAGCCAGCTTTTTCTGACACGAGCTGAAAGTAAAGCCGTTTATATTTACTAAACTATTAGTCTGGCAGTTGAAGGCACTAGGCAAACATCATTATGTCAACAGTAGTTAAGCGAGATGTAAACGAACCTAGAGTAGCCTTAGGTTATCGGCTGTGGTGAACACGTTGGTAGGACGGGCTGGTTGAGCAGGGTAGTGAGAAAGGCTGGGAAGCGTAGCTCGCTGTTTGCATAGCATAGAACTCTAATATGGAGTTTTATTGTGAAGATTTATAGCGCTGTCGAGAGAATGCTTCTATGTACATTGCAAGGTACTGGGAAAAACCGCGTTACTTTGTTCCGCTATGCAACCACATTTGTTTTTTTAAAATGAAATTGGGTGAAAATGAGTCCGCGAAGATGCAAATTATTCTTGAGAGACAGACAGAAAAAGAGAGAGCGCGCGCGAGAGAGAGAGAGGTAGAGAGCGGGGGAGAGAATGGGGGAGGGATACAGTGAGGGAGCGAGTAAGAGGGACAAAGACAAGAAGGAGAGAGAGAGAGAGAGAAAGAGAGAGAGAGAGAGAGATCGCGAAAGAGGAGAAAAGTGACAGAGTACATGTATGTGTGTGCGCGCATGTGTGTCAGTGTGTGTGTGTGTGTGTGTGTGTGTGTGTGTGTGCGTGCGTGCGTGCGTGCGTGCGTGCGAGCGTGCGTGCGTGCGTGCGTGCGTGCTTGCGTGCGTGTGAGAGAGCTTGCGTGTTGCAGAGGGCCAAAAGGGGGTGAACTCTTGAGGAAAGAAGAAGAAAGTAATGGAATAATACCTACTGAGTGTTGGAGGAGTAAGGAACGAGAGAGGGCAGGAGATGCCGTTTCCCATCGTTACGACAGACAGCACAACAATTTGTTCTCATCCTCGTCTCCACTCTGACCCTCACCTGACTTTGATGTCGGCTAAGATGCCGCACCTGCACTCACAGCTGAAGAGTTATGATAACACACTCGTGACCGTAGCGGCGTACTTGCGCCCGGCTTTTGTTCGCCACTGCACCGTGTCGCGTCTCTGCCGCTCACGTTCAGGCGAAACAGATGCCATGTTGCAGTGAACGAGTCAGGCCGCGAACGAGTTACGAAAACAAACTCTTAAATTCGGCTGACTGGTGTCGAGTAGGGCTGGATGTTTGCTTACACTTAACCCCGGTGCCTGTTGCTGTAGGCCTGGAAGTGCGAGTGCGCGAGGCGTGGTTTTTCGGCAGATTTCATCCTAGTATAGAGGTTGCAAATTTGGGCTAGACTTTTTCAAGTGATCACACAGAACATAAACAGCACTGTGATTCTGATCGGCCGCTAGTTTAATCTCGGCTCGGCTTAGTCCGAACTTTAATGGTATAATTTGAGACCAATTGTAGTTATTCCATATCGAGACAGCTCGTTATTTTCACTGTACAAGAATCAGGTATAACCCTGGTGTTTATCCGATCATTACTATTATTAGCTCACCTGACGTAGTCAGATGCAGCTTGTAGAATCGCATGATCGTCCGTCCGTCCGTGCGTCCGGTCGTCCGTGCGTCCGTCCGTCCGTCAACAGTTGGGCACAAATCTTAACCGCTCGACGTACGGTCACGATATTCGGGTCGTTGGGGGGGAGTCGTCAAAACGAAGTTGGGATGTCGAAGCGTGGGGGTCAGGAGGTCAAAGGTCAAGAGGTGTAAAAGAAGGGGGAACATTCACTCCTTAACTTAAGGTAT